CCCCGATCATGAAGGATATTTTCAGGCTCCTCCCCTCACCATTCCCCCTCATCCACCCAGCCCCAGCCCCCCTTTAGGGCCCAAGTCCTCTGTTCCCACCACCTCAGGGTGGAAGGGGTGGTTCAGCAGGACATTTTGTTTCCCAGAAAAAGCTCAGGTCAAATTTCAAGGACAAAAGTTAGCACTGGGGCTGGGAAAGAAAACTCTGCCAAGAGGAGAAAACTGGGGAAGGGAGGGGGAGTCCAGGGCGGGTCATTCCAGGTGCCTGGGGTGGGGGCGGGATTTGGAGCTCTCGGTCCCCCTGCAGAGATCTGTCTGGCGAGACATGAGTTATCTCCTCCCCACCAGCCAGGAGAGGTAACGCAGACAGCCCCCTCCATCTTCCCTCCGTCCAAAAATAAGGGGAGTGGGTTTCGGCACTAGTTGGTAGGTCCCAGCCACCAGGCCACCCCACCCACCAGATTTGGCCTGATCGGAAGAAGGTGGTAGCATGAAGGGCTTTCCAGCTCAGAGATGTGGCCCGAACTGCTAGGAGAGGGACTGGTAGCCGGCCGGTGTTGCCATGGCAACTTCCTCCCTGCACTGGATCGAAGCATCCTATGGGCAAATCGGAGCTGGCTGCTCCATCTTCTCCGCCCCTCTCCTGAGCGGGTGGGGGAGAACTGGACGCCAAAACCACTTGGTCAGACTCAGGGACACCATCCTCAATTTCAGACCCTGATGTAGCAACCCCCTTTGGCATTTGCTGGAAACTGGAGACACTCTCCAGACACACTCCCCAGCCATGCTCCAAGGCAGACTGGCAGGTCTGGGACTGTAGATGTGATAAAAACGAACTGTTGAAGAGAACAGGGACATGGGGAGCTGGGTGCTCCCCACCCTCTTGTTCCACATTTAAGTCCCCCAAATCCCCTTCTTTAAACCCCTCCCAAGAAGGAGGGCCCAATTCTGCCTTAATAGCTGTAACAATGTAATAAAATTAGCTTATAAGCTAACGTTTTGAGAACCAGGCTTCCCCCCTGCCTCAAACCCACAGATTTCTTTTTACAATCTTGCTCAGAAACAAGCCTTACTTCTTGGCAAAAAGAAAGATTAATAGCTAACAGCTACTGAGAGCCCATCTAGTGTCAGGCGCTGTACTCTGCCCTCTGCACACACAGCATAACAATCAACAGCATAGATGCTTGAGGCAGACTGCTCAAGTTCAGATCCTACCTCCCTCATTTCCTGGTCCAGTGACCTTGAGTGAATACTCTCTCTGTGTCTCAGTTTTCTCCTCTGAAAAACGGGGATGTTAACATGAATTGTGTCTCAGTTTTCCCATTTGAAAATGGGGACTGTCAAATGTTAATTTTATAGACTTGCTGTGAGGAAAGAAAGCAATATTGAAAGTGCCTAGGAGAATACTTAGCAGAAGGAATCATTTAAAAAATGTTTACCCTCTGCGGTCCATACTCTTATTTTCTTCCTGATATAGATAAGAAAGCAGAGGTCACATGTCTAACTCCCCGCTGCGCCACCCCTCCTCAATTACAAAGCCAGAACGAGCCAGGTTGAGCCATGAAGACACAAGCATGAAAAATGCCTCCCAAAAGCATGCCTCTCTAAAGCCCCAATATCTTTTTTTTAATTAATAATAATTATCTATTTATTTATTTTTTGCCTGCTTTTTTTTCATTTATTTTTATTAGTTGGAGGCTAATTACTTTACAACATTGTAGTGGTTTTTGCAATACATTGACATGAGTCAGCCATGGATTTACATGTGTTCCCCATCCTGATCCCCCCTCCCACCTCCCTCCCCATCCCATCCCTCTGGGTCTTCCCAGTGCACCAGCCCCAAGCACTTGTCTCATGCATCCAACCTGGGCTTAAAGCCCCAATATCTTTATAAAAAGGGGCAAAGCAGTGTAAGAAGTGGTTTCAGAGTGCACAGGGGAAGATGCTTCTTGGGAAGAATTCTAGGAACCCACGGTGACAAGCCTCCTGAGCCCCAGGATGGCTAGAAAGGGGAGGAAGGGGCAGCTTCCTTTGCTGACAAAATGTCCAAGGCTCCCAAGCTCAAGGGAGGAAAGTGCTCTGGCCCAGTTAAGGCTAATGAAAGTCTCCTCCTCACAGTTTCTCAGGAAACCAGCTGAAGGGTAGCATACAAGCTCTGAAGATGGCTCTAAGTCAATCGAGTTGATGAAAAAGATGCAGTGGACAGGAGGTGGAAGCAGCAACAAAGGGAGGACCCTAGATAAGCCAGAGGACCATCAGGGGCCCTTCTGGGCCACCATGAACAGAGAGGGGTATGAAACTGGCCAGGCGAGGGAACAGAAAAGAGAAAGGTAGAGTCAGGTCAGTTCTGACAGCCCTCCAACTAGAGCAGTCTCTGTCCACTAACTGAGACATATTCAAACTGCTTTTTGAAATTAGTTCAGTGCAGCGCCGCTCTAAAAGAATAAATCTAAAAGGCTTTTTTTCTAAAGGAGGAAATTAATGACTTTGAGAAGAACAAGAAAAATTAAGAACCAAGCCGACGTTCCCTACTTCTGATTCTCACCAGACGTTCATTAGCCTTCCGGAAATGAAATTTCACTTTCTTCCTCCCCCTCCCAAGTTTGGAGCATCCCTTAAGATGAGCAGTTGAGCACAAGACGCCCAAACCAAACTCTTGGCTGTTGGCTGCTCCCTGGGGCCTCTTCACCTGGGAACCATTTTCTACACAGCGAGATCTGACTTTTAAAAAAAAAAAAAAATCATCCTTCAGAGACAGGACTAGTGCTTTACTGGAAAGAGAACCGGAAACCTGATTTTAGTCTCGGCTCTATGCCCGACTCACTGGGTGACCTTGGGTTATACACACACACACAGGGACTTCAATCTCACACACATTCACACACACAAACACACACACATCCATTTGGGGGCAAAGAGATGTTGGACAAGACGATTTCGAGGTCCCCCAAGTGAAAAAAAAGTTAAGAATTTGAAGAAATCTGCTGGGGGGGAAAAATCAGGTGGACCTTTAAAAATCTCTAATATTGCATGAAGTTACCTATTGTAACTCAACTGAAACCAGAGTAAGTCGCCTGCAACCAGCGATAATAACCAAAGCATCTGAATCATGACGAGCAGCATGACTCTGGAGAAACACCCAACTGTCCCTACCACAGCGACAGTTGGCTCTTGAGACCCAAGTGGCCTTCTGAACTTCAGGATTGTCCTTGAACATCAAGGGAGAGATGGGGGAGCCTGCCCACCCAGGCAGGTGGGGCTCTGGCCCCAAGCCCTGAGTTGAGCCAGATTTCCTCTCTCTGATTTTGCTCCAGGGGAGGCCACTGGGTTAGGAGAACCCCTCCACCCCTCTTCACCTTGCCTTGTCCATAATAATAATACTACTACCCTCCCTCAGCTGCATCAAGGGGGAAGCGAAGCCTCAGTTATTCTTTCTGTAAAATTGTGATTCTGTAAATTGGCTCTGCAGTAACCATTTCACTCCACCCCCTCTTCAGGTCAACAGCAAGACAGCTGTGTCAGGGGTCAGCCTCACACTCCCCCATTCACCCACTTAGCCAACACATTCTGCTGTAGAACTTTCTCCCCACTTGCCTCTGATCCAACAGGAAGAGGTGAGCACCCATCACCCACCGCTCCATCCTAGGCTTATCAGATAACTGGCTGACTAGAATAAGCGTCCCTGCAGGCAGAGAGTTTTAAGCAGGGCCCTTGAACTCCCTAAAACTATGGACAAAAATGTTTGGATGGTGCGTGTATGTATTTGGGGGAGAACTCATCCGTATTGTCATCAAGTTCCTCAAAACGTCTAGGAAACCATTTTGCTCCTCCCCACCACACACTCCCCTCCCCTTTCATCCCCTCACTGAACTAAAATACTCTCAGATCAGCGTACAAAACACTTTTAACTTAACCTTGTGTCGGAGGTACCGTCATCCCATTTTACAGATCAGTATATGGAGGCTAGGGGCGGCAAGACTCGCCCAAGGTCACGACTAGTAAGGAGATAAGCAAGCCCAAGATCGGAACCTGATTCCGACTCCCTCTCTGGCACTCTGGGGAACTCTCACCCAAAGCCCTCTAGCTACCCCACCTGTTGGTGGATTCTCTTCCTCACCGCAAAAGCGTATCCGAAGCCCTTCTGTTTCCTGTGTCTGGTCCCAGGGCCGCCAGGAGCCGGTTTCTCCACATTTCCCCGCCCCCTGGGCTCTGGCTGAGGTTGCGCGCAGGCCTGGGAGCCTGAGGTTCGGGCCGATGAATGATGGCCCGGTCCAGCCCACCCAGAAAGGCCACTCCAGGCCCAAGAGCACCCGGGATCAGGGGCATACTCTGATCAGGGCGCGCAGGTGTAGAGTCGGCGCCGCCCTATGCCTCCCTCCGGGACCAGCCGGGAGGAACCGAGAGGAAAGGCCGTCCCCCGGCCGGTCCCCTCAAGGTCCACCCCAGTCCTGGAGCCCGAAGCCCCCGCCCCTGGGGGAGGACAAGGAGAGACAAACGGGGGGCGCTCAAGGCCCTGGGCGCGGGGCAGGTGTCTGGCCCAGGGAGTCTCAGGATGCAGCGAAGACAAAGATGGAGCAGGAAGGTTGCGCGCCACCTCCAATGGCGGGGGGCGCGTCGGAGCCCCGCGGGTGAGGCGGCCAGAGCTCCGGGGTCTGAGGAGGAGGCACTTACAGGAGGCTAGGGGAGGGCGGCAGGTCGGATCCAGGGACAAGAATGGGAGCATTCAGTAGGCGCAGGTGAGTAGGGGTAGCCAAGTCCAGGAGACCCAAAGGGCCCACCTGCGGAAAAGGGGTGAATGCACAGGATCCAGGTCCCTGGGGGCGGCGGGAGGCCCTGTGGGTGGGAAATTAGACCCTGGGGGCGCATCCCCGAGGGTGGTTGGGATTGGGGGTGGGGAGGAAAGAGTGGCCACCTCTTAGGGCGCACTGGGTCGGGGACGGGGCCCCGGGATCCGGCTCCCGGGACGCCCCCCGGGGGTCGGGGGCGGGCAGCGCGCTTACCCGCGTCCTCATCGTCGAAGGAGTTCATGCACGGGAAGTAGATGGCGAGCGCCTCGAAGGAGGCGGACAGGCTGAGGCGGCTCTGCGAGCGCTCCATGCCCGCGCCGGCGCCCGGCGCCTCGGCCGCGGCGGCGGCGGCGGCGGCCGGCTTGGGCAGCTTGGCCGCCCCATTCTTGACGCGGAGTACGGCGCGCGGCGTGGTGGCGGCGGCCCGGGGCCGGGCCGGGACTCCGCGGCGGGGCGGGCGGGCGCGGCGGGGCCGGCGGGCGGGCAGGCGGGCCGGGAGCTGGCGGCGCGCGGAGCCCGAGGCGCGCGGTGCTCCCGGCGGCGGCGGCGGCAGCGGTGGCGGCGTCGGCGGCGGCGGCGGCGGCGCAGCTCGCTCTGGCCCGCGGCGCCCCCAGCCGGCCGCGCGGGGCGGGCTCCAGCCGCCGCCGCAGCCAATCGGCGCCGCCCGGGGGAGGGGGCGCCGCGCGCGGGGCGTGGGAGCCGGAGGGCGCGGGCGGGGCCCCTCCTCGCCTCCCGGGCCCGCAGGTTGTGCGCGCCCCGAGCGACGAGCGCGCCCGACTGCTGCGCCCCCAGTCCTGGGGTGCGGCCCCACGCTGTCCCCACCCCCACACTGAACCCCCCAGACGCCTCGAATTCCAGGCATCCGGTCCCCACCTGAGACTGGCCAACCCCAGGGACAGAAACGCACTCGAAAGGGACACAGACACGGTGACCGGCGCTGGAGACCCTCAGGTTCACACGTGAACCCGCAGAGCAGCTCAAACAGGCACCCCCACGACTGCATCCACTTGTGCAAGATACACCACGGACACCCTCAGACTTACACACCCAGAGAGACTCACCCAGGCTCACTCATAGCGACACTTGGAGAACCAAGCGCCAGAACCCCCTAAGACCCCCGCAGGTAGGTACATCCACGGACACACGCGGATTCACACCCAGAGACCTGCAGACACAGTCTGAGCAGCAAATAGGCACACCCATGGCCACACAGGAGACCCTCGGAACCCACACGAACTGAGAAGTTCAGATGGACACACACACTATCATGATCCCACCATATCCAGAGAATCCACACTCACAGACACGCCTACTCAGTGACACACTCATAGTGACCAGACCTTCACGTAGAAACGCCAGTGCCCCTCCAACACTGACCTCTCTCACAGGGGTTTGGGCACACCCAGAAATACCCTGGCAAACACCATCGGACTCACACAGTCACCCTCAGACTCAGACACACCTCAGTGGGCACACACAGGTTCACATCCAGACACAGTCGCACAGACTTAGTCACTCCTGGTGATGGATACATTTTGATGCATAGACACCCGCAGACTTATACAGGCTCACTGAGAAACACTCCACCAGACTCACATGTTCACCCAGACACACCCACGTATAAACCCCCAGGGACTCACACACACACACACACACACACACACACACACACACACTCAGATAATGCAGAGCCCCCTAGGTGAACACAGTCATAACTCAAAACCTGCACTCCATTCCCTGGCCTTGACCCAAGACCTAGGTCCCTACATAGTTGGGCCCAGATGTCTAACTTTTCCCAGCTGTTCCTACATCTGCTTCAGGAAGCAGCCTGCTGAGATGGCAAGAAGAGCACAGTTTCAATCCAGACTGTGATGCTATCCTTCACCTGCCTTTTTTCCATCTGTACAAGGGGGATTCAACCCCCGCCCCACTTTTGGATGGTGGTGAGGATTAAGTAAGATAACATGTACTAGTTTTGGGTTGTTGTATAACAAAGAGACTTAAAAAAAACACACCCATTTATTAGTTTACCATTCTCTCAGAGGTCTGAGCAGGCTTGACTGGGTTCTTTGCTTAGGACTTCACAAGGTATTGGCCAGACTGGGTTCTTATCTGGAGGCTCTTGAAAAGAATTGGCTTCCAAGCTCACTCAGGCTGTTGGCAGTATTTGGTTCCTCAGAGCTGTAGAACTGAGGGTCCCATTTCCTTTCTGGCTCTTAGCCAGAAGTCACTTGCCATTCCTAGAAGCAGGTCTGTGGTCCTTGCACATGGCCTCTTCATCTTCAAGATCGTTATTAGGATGTTGAACACTTCTCCTCCTTAGCAACTCTCTCACCTCCCTTCTACTTCCTGGACTGAGAAAGCTCTGCTATTAAAGTGCTTGTGTGATTAGATTAAGAATATACATGCCTGTGTGTATATATATTAATAGAGAGAGAGAGACAGGCTTCCCTGGTCGCTCAGCAGCAAAGAATCCGCCTGCAATGCAGGAAACGCAGGTTCCATCCCTGGGTGGAGAAGATCCCTTGGAGGAGGGCATGGCAACCCACTCCAGTATTCTTGGAAATCCCATGGACAGAGGAGCCTGGCAGGCTTCAGTCCATGGGGTCACAAAAGAGTCGGACTCGACTTAGCAGCTAAACAACAGCAATAATATAGATAGACACATATATATGTATGGCATATTGTGTATATATCATATTCACTTGTAAGATATATATGTATGTATGTAATTTATAGTGCATGTGTGTTCATGAATTTGCACCTGCAAGCGTGTGTGTGAGGGTATCTCACCCAGCCCGAGGGGATCTAAGAAGGCTTCTTTGGAGAGGTGACATTTAAGCTGAAAATGCTATGTGCCTGGCACTGTTCTTGGCCCTGGGGATATAAATACCAGCAAATGAAATAAAGCCACTGCCCTCACATTTGCATTTAAAAATCATCTCTGGGACTGCTCTGGGAGGAATAGATTGGAGTGAATTTAGAGGGTTGCTGCCCCCTCTTCTCTTCAGATAAATCCTGATTTGAACCCAAAAGCCACTGATTGTTTCTAAAACGCAAATGGCAGGGGAGGCTGAGAAAGAATGTCCCGTGGGAAGGTGAAATGGAGGAGGTGGGGGGACCATGGGTCCCGAGGCCAGATGGGAGGCTGTGGGCCCGGGGTGGGAGGCAGCAAGGGCCAAGGCTGGGGAGAGGGCAGGAAGGGCTGAGCCTGAGAAAGTTGCTGAGACAACCTTGGGCAGGATTAAGAGGCAGGCTGGATGGGTGAGGATCGGGAAGGGAAGGGGGGAGCGAGGCTGCCAAGCTTTGCAGCATCAAGAGAAAACGGCACAGATGGATGAAACTCCTCCTCTTCAGCATCCGTCCTCTAAGACGAAGCGCGCAGCGAAGTGGCTCCGAAATGTTCTGTGTGTAGCAAGACTCAGGTGAGCACCTTTCTAGAGGAAGGGAGAGGCGGCTGGAAGGTAGCTGAACCCAAGAGAGCCCTGGTTGCTGCTGATAAGAAAAAGACTCATCCTGTTTGTGTTCTGCCTGCTGGGGTAGGGGTGTGTGGATATGTGTGTGTGTGAACGTAAACATCTCTGTGGGTGTGTCTCTGAATAGATGGGCACTTCTGCATATCTGTGTCCTTGTCTGTGAATGACCTTGTCTCTGAATATGACCTTGGAACATGCATGTCTTTGTGTTCAGTGAATCCAATCTGGCTTTAAATGCAACATACATCCTGGTCTTTGTATGCACTGGTGTGTGTGAGTGTGTGTGTGTGTGTGTGTGTGAGTGTGTGTGTGCATGTGTGTGTGTGTGACAGACACACAAGAGAGCACTTGTCCATTCTCTATGTGTGTGACCCGAGCCACGTGTCCCAGTCTGTGTGGGTCTGTATCTGCTTGAGTGGGCTGGTGTCTCCTACTGATAGTGTGTGCTTCTCAGCATCTGTTTTACCTCTTAGTGTATCAGGATCCGTGTGTGTGTGTGTGTAACTAGGCTGTATTGGTTTTATTTGGGTATCAATGTCAGATGTCTGTTCTTGTCCATGTGTGTATGTATCTGTCCCCTTAAATCCTGGTAGTGAGAATTTGACTGTGTGTGAAGGCTGCTGTCTGTGAACTTGTCCATGTAAGCTGATAGCTTGAAAGGGGACTCATCTTCTTGGATTAATTTTTGTGTTTAATTGGCTAACACAAGACTGAGCTGATGGGGATATAGATATTAAGATCTTTTATTAATTCCGAGTCCCTTAGACAACTGTCTCAACCGTTCATTTATGCTTCCAACCATCCATTCAGTCATCCACCCAACTATCCACCCTCCCACCCCTTCATCTCAATTGCACTGATACTTACTAGCTACATAATAAGTGACACTTACTAGCTACATAGTTATCTCTTAGACAAATGACTTTATCTTTCTATGTCTCTGTTTTCTCATCTATGAAATGGGAATGATACCCGATAGATCTGGAAGTAGAGGTGTGGGAGTTAAGTGAGATATTGCTTATAAAACAGTAACCACATGGCATAGTGCATAGTAAGTGCTTTCTACATTAACAATTATCATCATCATTGTGGCAGCCAGTATATTTCAGCAAATTCTCATCAGCACTTTACTACAGGCCAGCCCTGAGCTAGAGGGTGGTGGGGCCCTACTTTAACAGAAACCATTAAGTGCCTCTGCCACCACCTTCTGGTGTGACCTTGGATAAAGCCTATGCCCGCTCTGGACCATACAATAGATAGAGCACACTTGCCTTACCTCTGTTATGGAAATTCTTAGTGCACCTGACTTTCAAAAACTGCAAAGAGCTGTGCACAGTTATGGAGCAGGCTGGGGACCCCTCCCCTGCCAAGCCCAAGAATGGCAGGGGCCCTTCCTGGGTCATCTGGAGAGTCAGGCAGAGCTGGAACAAAGCCAGGACCCATTTTCACTGTGGGGCTCAGGCCGCTGCTTCCTCCCAACCCCTGCTGGCCTGTTTTCCCTCTGGGGAAGCATCTGATATTCTCTCATGACAGGAGACGAGCATGTTAGGGAGCAGGGAGCAAAGAGGGGCAGGAACACACATTCTGGTCCAGGAAGAGCATCTTCACTTACTATTTGGTGAGGGGCCTTATGGCTAAAAAAAAAAGAAAGAAAAATAATAAAGGAATTGGGTAGGGGGTGTGATTTCTGCCCCCCAAAACCACCCTTTAGGACAAGAGAGAGAGAAAGAAAGAAGCAAAGGGTAGAAAGAGACAGAGACTAGACAAGAGACAGGGACATAGTAATAGAGACGCAAGAGGCAGAGAACAAAGAGGCAGAGACAGAAACAAGCGA